CTTTCAGGGTGTTGCTGAATCGTTTCGAGTAATGCACGAATTCTCGTTTTCGCTTTTCAACAGCTGAAAATAGGCAAATTCAGCCAAGAAAAAATGCAAAAGAAAGGCATCTAAAGCATGAAAACTTATCAAACTTGAATTTTTTGTCCCGGAGAATTTTTAATTTTAAAAAAGCAGTAAATACAGCCAAAAAATAATGCAAAAATGAATCTAAAGCACGAAAACTTATCAAATCTCGAAATTTTCGTCCCAGAAAAATTTTAGTTTTAAAAAAGCAGCACATACAGCCAAAAAATAATGCAAAAGAAAGACGCCGGAAGCACAAAAAATTCATCAAATCTTGAAATTTTCGTTCCGGAAAATTTTTTAATTTTAAAAAAGCAGTACATGCAGCCAAAAAATAATGTAGGAAAAGGACGCCGGAAGCACAAAAAATTTACCAAATTTTGAATTTTTTGTTTCGAAAAATTTTTAAAAACAAAAAAAAATATTTGAAAGTGGATTAAAATTGAACATACAGAGTTGAGCGCTCGGATGGACTACTTGCATAACTGCATTTGTGGCATCCAAAAGTTTTTTGATTGAAGAAGCAATTTCTTTGATTGTCTCAAGGAATGTGCGTCGATCGGACATCTCCTCCGGCACCCGTGCCAGTACCCGTCGCAGCGCAATTGCTCTGATTTTGAAAGAAAAATTCATTAAATGATAAAGAGAAAATAATGAAATAGAAAAGAAGAAGGGGAAAAAAACGAAGAAAATGCGAAGTAAAAAAGTGGAAAAGGGGACTGAGGAAATATTTGTAACAGGTAAAAAATGTTTCGATCCATTAAGTCGTATACATTTCTTACCGTTACCACAATTGGACCTCGTCAGTACGACGATATATTCACTGGGTTCGATTTATTTTATGGCAAAAAACTGAAATTCGCCACAAATTTTCCTGCAAAAATCATCTTTGAAAAGGCACCAACCTCGATGACAAGTCCTGATATTCAGCTTGCTGAAGATTTGTCAATTCGAGATCGTCTGTTGGCGCGTTTGCCTGCATTCGAAGAAAAGCTTCCTGTAACACAAACGATGGATGGGGGATTTTCGTTGCGCAAGGAGTATGAACACGGAAAGAGCCATTTTTATGTATATGCAAATGCAAAAACGCATATTTTGACTCATGGTGTACGTGTATGCTAGTGTGTGTGTCTCTGTGTCTGTCTGTCCGTCCCGGTATTTCACCCGACAATCACGTAAACTCGGTGCCAAGATTTTGCCAGCGGATTACCGGCCAAGTACCACTCCAGGACCGCGGCACCAACCCTCATACACGTCTGGCCCAACGTACGATCAAGTGAAAGTTTTGGCGGGAAAACCAGTAATTCGGGAACCAGAAGAGGATGTTCGCCGTCCACGCAGAACTCAAAGATTTCAGATTCAGCCCCCAGAATTGCGTGATTTTCACGTATGGACCCATGAAATTTTTTGGTAGGAAAACTGATAACTTGGAAACCAGAAAATTTGGAAAGCTGAAATTTCAACGGAATGTTCCCTGTGCAAGTACTGCGTAGTAGCACAGTCAACTTTCCGAAATTCGAGGACCAGTATGTCACAGTTTCTAGCTGCTGGGTTTCCGAACAATCTCATTACAGCAAGAAATATTGCAAAAACGCATGATCGCACGGACCCGACCGGTGCGCGTGGACAATGATTTCCACTCCTACTCTCACAATTCCGAGCGCTTTCTAAACATTCAACGATTACACTTCCTTATCAGTTACAAAGCCACTACTTATCCCTCTTTATGCCAAAACATATGGGAAACTGGGTGGTTTCAAAGGCAACTCGTGAAACAAATCCCATAATTCCAGAAACATTTCAGACGAATAATAAAAACAGAGTTACCCAAAGGGTAAAATTACCTGTAAATTAATGCTTAGTTTTGAGTCACTGAGCAAAATTTTCGTGAAATCGAACAGAAAAGACGGTGATGCGAGATCGGCTTGCCCGAGCGCTGTCCTCAACCTCTGCAAGCACACTTGAATACTTAAGCAGCTATATATCATCGACGTTCGCTGTCATGCCATCGATGCAACTAGTAAAACAGCAAAAATGAGCAAAATCGAAGTGATAAAAAAAAAACGAACGAAACCTGAAGTGACTGAGCAGCAGAACTATCATTGCGACGACTCTGCACA